TGCACAGAGAAACACGATCAATTGTGAAAAACTATCCAAGTGCAGGAGAAATTTCAACAAAAAAGTCCGTTTGCTAGAGCCAAACCTTTTCACTCCCTTTTCTTTTAATGTGGGAACAAGAGGGGAAATGTTGCTGCCTGTGAAATTTGCCAAACAAAATTCATTGGAAATTGATTTGTGGATAAAAACATAGCCACAGCACGATGGATTCCTCACCATTAGGATGGCAGGTGTTATTTTTCCTGCTTGTTTCAGAGCAGCCTCTCCTGGCAGAGGCAAGGTGTGATGCACCATACCCAGTGTTGCCACAACATACGTATGTGCTTAGAGGGATAGGAAGAGGCAGGCACTTTTTATGGGAAAAAGAAACATTCTCTAGGCTGGAGATTGCATTTTGAGCTGCACCGTTTTAGTGGAGAAAAAAGCCACACTATCAGATTGTATAACAGAGTCAGCAACAGGATGATAATCTCTCCATCCATCCTTCATCAACTCTTTTGCCTAATTCTACTACTAAAAATTAATCTGCAGCTTTACTAAACAAGGACTATGGTTTCTTGGCAGCTGTGCTAAAGCCTCTTTTTTTGCCCATAGCCAAGTAGATGCACTTTGCTCTTGGTTTTCTCTTTGTAGAAAAGAGAACTTTTCTACATTTTGTCTCCTTCTGAATGGCACTCTGTCAGAGGTAATGTCATATTTCTGACTCATCAAACTATATTTTCCAACCTGGGACCCTGTTTGCAGTTCTCTTGAAATGGATGGCCTAGTATTCCAACTTCCCCACATCCTGCCTGTCCCCACATCCCATAGTTCTATGCAACTTGAAAGCTTGACTAGCCTGTGCATTTATAAGCGATACTACAAAAGGTGTTGTCCAGGTACTGTAGATTTTGTAGCTTGGATTGTGTTTTCCTTTTATGACTCAACAGGCCCTCTTCCTTTTTTCGACTCCCTAGAGGGTTTTTTCCCCACTAGACTGTTAAACACACCATTTCTGCATGCCGTCAAATCAATTCCAGCTTATCATGACCCTTCCCCAGGCTTGTTTTTTTTTTTTAAGCTATGGAGTGCTCATAGCCAATGAATATTTAGTATGTTTTACTTGTGTAATTCATGTTTAATCCAGTATTTCATTTTCATTCCGTCTGTCTGATGAAATGGACTTTTCCCACTGGACTGTTAAACACACCATTTCTGCATGCCGTCAAATCAATTCCAGCTTATCATGACCCTTCCCCAGGCTTGTTTTTTTTTTTTAAGCTATGGAGTGCTCATAGCCAATGAATATTTAGTATGTTTTACTTGTGTAATTCATGTTTAATCCAGTATTTCATTTTCATTCCGTCTGTCTGATGAAATGGACTTATCCATGAAAGCTTACATTAAAATATAATAGTCTTTAAGTTGCCACGTGTTTTTTGTCTTTTTTGTTTTGTTCCTTTGGATTTTGCCTGATATACTCAGAAGTAGTTTCCCATTCACTTTTTTGGGGGGAGCTCAAGTACTCTGCAACTTCCCTAGAGTTGCACAGGTTGGCTCTTCTCCTAGGAGGCACTATGGTGAATCAAATTCCCAACCTCTGGCTTTGCAGCTAAGTAACTATTTAACTGAGCTATATTTGCCTTCAAATTTTATTGTATTGCAGTTGGGTCTCAATATAGAATGTTCGTTATTTTCCTGTATAAGTTCTCCCTATCTTTGATTTCGTCCTCTTGTTCTTTCTCAGTTGAGAGAGAATGGGCTTCACTTTGAACATTGCCATATGCTCCAAATGTTCCTATTACCTGGAACCATCTGTATTTCCTGGCATCTGTCTGGGAAAACATTGTCCAGTTTGTGTCTTTTGGGGAAATACTGGGCTCTCCATTCAGCTTTATATCTTAGTGGTGTTGTGCAGCAGCAGAAGCATCTTGCATTCTTCAGACAAAACAATTCAAGCTCCAAGATGCAAATAATCCTAGGGTGAGGTGAACTGTATAGCACTGCAAGCAATGGATAGATCCTCTTGAGTTCTGTTGTTCATGTCTGGTGCCCAATGCATCCATGATTTACTCAAAGAGCAGTGTATTGTTACAGTACCAGACAGTCTAGGGAGATGTGCTGCAAATTCAACCTAGAAAAATGCCTTCATGCCCACAAGAGCTCACAACTAAGTCAACTTGTGGTCACACCAAAATGGAGATCTTTTAGGTATGTTTGCTGCCAGATGTTAGAAAATCAAAATGTCCTCAGGGAAGTAAAAACCCCAGCCCCCAATGAAACGAGGACAGCTCAAATCCCAATTAACTTTCCCTAATGACCGTACTATTAGAATTATTTTTCTCTGAGGCAGGGGTGGACAACATGTAGCCTCTGTATGTCTGCCTGATCCTATCTTTTGTCCCCATAGGGTGGTTGCTGTTTGTAGAAATAGTAAAACAGCTCCATGGCATTATAACAGAAACCCAAAAACCTTTAAGCAATGCACTTCCACTATGAAAAAGGAGCACAGGGGTTATATACCTTGTCTTGAAAACAGTTTGTATTCCTGGAAGCACAGGCTGAATTTGTAACCAGGTGTACATCCCCCACCCCCCAAAAAGCTGTACTTTAAAGCAGAAGTACTGTGTTTCAATAGATTTTTGTGACATCACTACTGAATTTAGGAAGTGCAGCAATGGGGGAATTCACCCTGATAGATTAGGAAGATGGTAATGCAGCCCCTGGATCCCTTAAAGTAGTCCAGGGCAGCCATATAGTACTTGTAATCAATCCCATAAATAGCCTGGCTTCCAACTATTTGGGGACATTAGAACTGAAAGCAGTAGTTCCTGCAAAGAAGTAGGAAAAGTAAGAGAGAAAAAATTCTACAGTTGACACTGAGAACATTTGGAAAGCATTTCAGCCCCAGACCACTAAGGGAAGAGTTAGTGCCACAGGGAAGGTTTATGCACCTGAGGCTGAAGGGATGTTAGGGGTTCAGCTCCTACCCCCTTTAAAGACATGCATGTATTGGGTTAGAGTGGGCAAAATGGCAAGGCTGGGGCAGAAGCCAGCCATACCAACAAGCTAAAATGGGAGGGCTTGTATTTGCATAATCCCAGGGCGCAGGGTCCAAACTGCTTCCCCCCTGGTTTCCCAGTGAGGAGGAGATGACGGAGAAGGAATCTGATGGAGGTGGCCATTGGGTGTTGGTTTCCACTGTAGCAATATTGCCCACAACCAAACTGGTAAATTAGTCTCTTGTCTGCTATTTTAACTGCTTCTGTACATCCAGTAGTGTGTTGAGCTACCTATGTAGCTATATTATTTATTCATTTTTATTTATTTAAAATATTTTACCCTGCCTTAGAAAGGACCCAAGCCAGCTTACATCATTGAAAGGCAGTATGTAAAGCTAACAACAGTGAGTATAAATATGGAGAAGATCAACAAACATCACACTGAAAACAGTAAACAAAAGCAACACCAAAACAAACTCAAAGCAGTAAAGTATAACGGTACATCAGAAGCACATTGACATCTACTTGCATCCAGCGGATATTGGCTCGTCGTCTAATTGGACAGTGGCTTGTTTTATTTCAAATTTCTGTGGGGACTGAGAATGGAGCCATAAAGACAGGTACTAATCACATCAGTGTTGTTTTAAATATATTTCAAACATTTTGTACTGTGTAGGCATTTCTGTAGACATTTCTTTTGCATGCGGACTGCAGCAGCGTTTTCCTTCCATGTACTGGAGATGATTTAGAGAACTAAAATAAGAATCCATCAGATTAAATCCCTTCTTTTGTCTAGGCTCTTAGCTCTACAATGGTTTGGAACCACTGTTTAGGAAGATGCTGTACGATGCCAAAGCAGGGCTTTATCGAACAATAGTGGCAAGTGGTTATAAGCAGGAATATAAAATACAGATAAGTCTGTCATTCTCTACATTATACATGTTGTTTCTGTTGCTATTTCCTTTAATCATTGCTGCTGCTTACAGAACCAAGCTTCAAAAGATCTGGATACCAAACAGGGGTCTTAAATCATTACCGGGTGTTAAACGCCACCAAACACCCCTATCCTTTTATCTTAGGGTCTTGTATGAATCTTTTAGCAATGAAGTCTCTGTAATCCGACTCTTATGTCTGACAAAGTGGACATGTTTCAGGAAAGCTTACATTAAAATATATCAGTTAGTTTTTAAGGTGCTACAACATCTTTATTCACTCCTGTTTTGTTTTGTGTTTCTTACTGAAATGCTTGCACGGATTAACACAGTTACAACGTCAAAATAAATTTTCTACAGATTGACTCCTATTCTCCTGTTATTTCATTGTCAAATCATAATTTTTAGCCAGTTATTGCTTTGCAGGAGACCCACACTGGAAATGATTATTTGCAAACTGAGATGCCAGAGATGGAGGGACCAAGAGATGTTGTACAAAATGGGCTTCATTTAAGTACAACATGTACCAGCTCTATTCAGTTGTAAATAGATAAGGACAGAGGGGCTGGACAAGATCAGCAGCAGTTTTACTCTTATGCAACAGCCCTCAGGACCTTGTCCTGAGAGAAACAATTATTTCAGGGACATATTAAATATTTGAAATTTAGATCAATATACACTGCAATAGCTGTGTAAACTAGCCATTGTACATTAATAGGTGGTGGGGGGAGGAATGACATATAGATATGAAGATGTAAAGCATGGTAAGGAATGCTTCATTTTGGCAGTGTAATATTCTTTATCTGATCATGCACTATCACTGCAGAAAAGTTATGTAGTTTCACCTTGGAAGATGGGTGATGGTTTACAAAATATTGATAAGTCTGTGTCGTCAATGACAGTTCTGTACAACCTGTGAGCAATTACAGGGAATGCAGCCCACCATGTAATTGAATTGTGCTACCATTTCAAGACCTGACTCACATATGTTTAGCCCTAAGTTGACTAAACCATGCTGGGCTGCCAGGCATTGTTGGCTTGTTCTGGAAAAACACAGACTGTGCTCCTGGGGTTTTGTTTTAATTACCTGTTCTGCACCATGCTCATGGCCATCCAGTCCAAGGGGTAGACATTTTTTCCAATAAGATCTTTAAACATTATGAAGGTTTCCATCAAAAAGTCCTAGCAGAAAATATTAAAAATATTAAATATTAAAAATATTATTGTGAATTTGTATACATATTAAAGTGAAATAAGAATATAAGCCCCAGAGGTAGAAGATAGCATCCTGCTTCCATAGGATGGAACTGCCACATATTCTATTTTAAGATAAAAATAATGAAAACATCCTGTGGTACCTTAAAAACGAAGAAGCTTTACTTGGCATAATATTTCACTGACTCCTGCCAACTTCAGCAGGTGCATTCATCCCCATCCAGGCACCTGAAGAAGTGGGCTGTAATCCATGAGATCCTATGCCAAATAAAATTTATTGATCTTCAAGGTGCCACAAGATTCTCTGTGGGTTTTGTCGCAATAGACTAAAATGGTCGCCTCTGTGCTTCCCAAAATTTTAGATACATGCAGCCATTTGGCTTGCTCATGTGTACAGCTTCATTTGCAATGAAGACGTGATCCTGGAAGTGCACCAGACCTTTCTTCCATTCAGCACAAAGGTCTAAGGAGAAATCTGTAAGTATAGTTCACTGAACATGCTTATAGAGATCATGTGATCAGGAATATCTTGACTAGAAAGGGGCATGAATCAGAAAAATCATGATTAGTTTTGATTTGTGAGTCATCAAGATTGACAAATTACAAATGTATGATTTTTTTCTGATGAATCAATTCATCAATTTGTTTTTTACTTTAAACCCATATAAAACACACCCCTCAAGTACCTAAAGACACCAAGTTCACAGAGAAGTTTCCTCTGACTGTCCTCTACAATCCCTCTAGGTCGGGTTAAGATTGGATTTTGGAAGTCCAAGTTATACATCCACAAGGAGGGTCCCCCCAGGAAAATTCCCCCCAAGCACCTAGAAATATCAAAATCACACAGAAGCTTCTACTGACTCTGCTACACAATTTTGCCAAGTTTGGTGAAGACTGGATTTCAGATATCCAAGTTATACACCCACAAAGCCCCCCCCCCGGAAAGTGTCCTTTACCAGCTGGCTTGGGGAAACCCACTTTTCACCCTACTTTGGGGGGATTGTAGAGGAGAGTCAGTAGAAGCTTCTCTGTATTTTGGTGTCTCTAGGTCATTGGGAAGAACTTTCCCGGGGAGGGCTATTTGTGGGTGTATACCTTGGACATCTGAAAAGCATTCTTCACCAAACTTGGAGGGATTGTAGGGGAGAGTCAGAGGAATTTTTCCTGTAACTTTGGTGTCTCTAGGTGCCTGGGGGCACTATTCTATATCCCAACAAATTGAAAATCACTAAAAATTCATTGATTCATATTCGTCAGGGGCATTGATTCATACAAATATGAATAGATGAATTCATGGTTTTTAAAACAAATTTAGTGATTCATGTTTTATTTTGTGCCCATATCTAGTCTTGACACAAAAGGCTCCCACAATTTGTTCCCTCTGAACAAGCTCAAAGAAGCTCTGCACGCCTCTTTACTTCTTACATGGATCTCCATCCTCCACCCCACAGATCTAGATCTACACGCAAGCAGGCATATGGATCCGCTTCATATTGAAAGTGAGTAGTAGGGGCAGTGGGGCAGTAAAACAAAACTAAGAGAAATGAGTGCTAGTATTCTGGAAGAAAAATGATTTTCACATGAAACTACATTGGTTTATAAGTGTGAATAGTGATCAGTTTACGAGAGATAGTATCATACGTAAACATGTTTTTCTTAATTTACCTACAAAGCTGATAAAACAACCAGTCAAAATTTAACAAGCTGACATGAATTCAAAAGAGTCCATGCACATTATCTCCCATCTCCCACCAAAATTTTTTAGATTGAGACTCAGAAGAGAATGCTTTTCGTGTATTCAGTTTTAGCACATAGCTATGTCTGCTTAGAGTGCCTAAAAAGAGCAGACACCAATACAGCATCTTTGATTTTACCCAGTCAGAACCCAGCAGGTACTGCAGAGATGAATTTAATTAGATTCCATATATCTTTGAATGTATATATCTTTAATAAATCTGGGAGCATTTGGCTTTGTCCCGAGCTAGTCTGTGGAGGGAGCTTAAGGTGAATCAAGATGAGAGGGAAATGATACTGAGATGAATAGTAAGGGAAACAGATAAGCCTGCCTGTAATGGATCGGGTCGCTTTAAGGGGAGGGTGAAGGAAACATTCCTACATCTCACAGGAATCAACGTAATCAGCAACATTAGCGCAAAGCTGGGGCCACCAGAACTCCCATGTGAATAGATGCAGATCCTTGTACTGACCAAAGTGTCCTGCAGGAAAGGGAATCATGGGTCAAATAGAACACGTTGGCTTGGAGGGGCCCTGGAGGGACATACAGGCGCCCTCAGTGCAATAGGAGACCCTAGTGATTAGCAAAGTCTCCAGCAGGGCCCTCTTGGAGTTCCTGAAAGCGTTGCTTGGGCCAGAGATCTTGAGCTTGGCTGGCCCGAATTTCCTCAGCCAGGGACAAGCGGGTTGTAGTGGCTGCAAAGACTGAGGGTGGTAAGATAGGTGCGGCCAGAGTCTCTTCAGAGGGTGATACAACATATTCCGGTTTGCGGGAAAGGGCATCGGCTTTCAGATTCTGGGTCTGCAGGATATAGGTAATGCAGAAGTCAGACCGGGAGAAGAAGATGTTGGGCTGATCTGGCACTAATTGAGGCGTTGAGCTGTCTGCAGGTGTCCCAGATTCTGGTGGTCAGTCAAAACTTGGATGGGGTGATGGGCCCCTTCAAGGTAATGCCTCCAGACCTCAAAAGCGGTTTTGACGGCCAGGAGTTCCCGCTCCCAGGTGGTGTAGTTGCGTTTTGAAGGTGTTAACTGCCAGGAGTAAAAAGTGCAGGGCTGCAGTGGCTGTGAAGGGTCCTCCCGCTGGGACAGCACTGCACCCAGGGCCACACTGGAGGCATCCGTCTCCAGGGTAAATGATAGTCGAGGGTCTGGATAACAGGATTGGCTTGATTATAAAGTGGGTTTTCAGGGTGGTGAAGGCAGGTCTGCCCTGGAGTTCAAAGAAACAGCTCTTTGTTCTGGTTTGGCCATAGGGTAGATCTGCACCACAGAGAGGGGTGTCCCAGGCACCAAATTGATGGCACAATCATAGGATCGATGTGGGGGTAGATGGTCAGCCCCCTTTTCCTCAAAGATGTCAGCAAAGTCCCTATATACCAAGAGTATCATGGGACTGACTATTTATTTATTTATTTATTCACTCTTATTTATTTATTTATTTATCTATTTATCTATTTGAATTTTGAATGGATGAATGGTTTATTTATTTATTTATTTATTCATTCATTCATTCATTCATTCATTCATTCATTCATTCATTCATTCTATTTATACCCCGCCTATCTGGTCATCTCGACCACTCTAGGCGGCTGTTGAACCTGCTGCAGCCAAGGTGGCCAGTGGAACCAGATGCGGACACAGATCCTTGAAGCGCAACTCCCCTTGTGCCCAGTCAACTAAGGGGTTATGTGTCCAGAGCCAGGAAAGTCCCAGAAGGAGGGGGGAAATGAGGCATACATGCAACGTTGAATTGTAGTTGCTCCTGATAGTGTTGGATCTGGAGAATAACTGGATAAGTCTCCTGGGTCATTGAGCTGGAGCGGAGGAGATGCCCATCAATGGACTCAACTAGGGTCGGGGTCTCTTTGTCCTGTACAGGGATCCAGTGTTGTTTCACAAAGGCCGTGTCAATGAAACAGAGGACAGCCCCGGAATCAACCATGGCATAAACAAATTCCCAGTGCCCATCCGGTAAGCAAAGTTTCACTGGCACAAGGAATGGACCCTGGACATTAACAAAGGGTTCAGGGGACCCAGCTAGAAGCCCCACATCTGGGGGTCCATTCAGACATGGGGCAAATCTTTTGCTGGTGGTGGTAGCATGGAGCCGGGGGCGCGCCGCTTGACGAAGCAGCCAGAGGCAAAGTGTCCTGCTCCCCCACAGGCAGAGATTCTGTGAACGGCATCGCGTTTTTCCTCAGGAGTGAGTCATGGTCAAGCAGCCTACATCTTAAACAGCAGTTCAGAGTCATCACTGAGGGTTTGTCTTTTTACTGAGGGTTTGTCTTTGCAGTGGCAGCGCAGTAGAATCAACCACGCATGTAATATTACACTGCTGGGTTGTTTGAGGTTAGTTTCTATATCTGCTTGAATATTGCATTTGGTGTTTTGATACTGTTGTGCTACTGGATTGTTTCCAAGTATTTTGCTTATTATTATTAGTTTTATTTATATGCCACATTTCTCCCAGCAAGGGACCCAAAGCGGCTTAGAACCACATGTAAAATAATAATATATTAATCCATAAATAAAACAAGAAAGAACTGATTCTATGTGATTTATCCTACTCTACAATTTCTTTATATGTGTGCCTAAATGTAAATGGGTTATGTCTTTATACGGTGGCATGCTACAAATGTTTGTTCATTCACCCCTTGATTCATGTGAAATACATGTTTTACAGAGTATTAAGAGGTAATTTGTCAAAACTGACAATGTCTGCTTGACACTGATAAGAATATAATGTTCTGTACTGGCCAAATGTGTCAGATCTGGCCGACAAAGGCCAACCTGCATTCTTAAACACCCTGCTTGTTAATGTGTTTATGTTTAATTTCTTCATGTGAATCTCTCTGCCACTGCCTGAAGGGGAGCTTTTTATACACTGCCCATCAATCAGGCATTATCAAAAGGTATGGTGCCTGGCTTTGTCCTACCATCATAGAACATCGGTGTTAAGCCTGTTACTCGGGCAGAAGTCCTTTTCTGAACAGATGAGCTTGCTCATGTTTTGTCTTTTTTTTCCAGTGGTTTTCCAAAACCCTTTCTCTCTAAAGACTTATTAGCAATTAATTGGTTCCTGTGACCAAAGAGGTTTGTGCCCTTTGCTAGTAATAGAGTGTTCTATGTAAAAGACTTGTGCTTCCTATCAGTTCCAATTCTTCTTCCTCCTCATGCTTTCGGAAAATCTAATTATTTAAAAGTGCATTTTTCCCCAATAACTTCCTCCAGAGCCCCAGAAAAGTAACTATTAGTTACTTAGATAAACCATTAGATAAACCCATCATGTTGTAAGCAACAATGTGGTGTAGTAGAAAGAATGTTGGACTAGGATTCAGGACACCTGGGTTCAAAACTGATGCTCAACCATGGGAAGTGGCAACGTTAAACCACTCCTTGAACATCTCACATACCTTGGCAACTCTATTAGGGTCACCATAAGTTGAAAGCAACTTGGTGAAACACCAGAAAGTTAAATAGAAAAAATAATGGGTAAATGCTATTCCTTAAATGGTAACATTTATTTTATTTTAATGTATTTAAAATATTTTTATCCAGCCTCTCTTCTGAAAAAGGACCCCAAGGCGGCTTACATCATTACAAAGACAATGTTTAGAACTTTAACCGATTTCCCTAGTGTTTTATTATTATTGCAAAAAGGACATTGTTATTCCCTCATTACCCCAGACATGGATGCTATACAAAGCCAATATTCTTTGTAATGTATTCTTTCTGGTTCTTGCTGATTCAGATGGCAGAAAAGATTTTTAACCATAGGGTGAGGGCAGCATTATTTATAACAAAACCATCACATTAACATCTTCTTGCCACCCAGTTAGTATATAGTTTTCTGGAGTTGTCAAAGTCTACAATGCAACCGATTCCTACTGTGAAACTTCTTCCATTGATTTGAGTACAAAAGATTCTTAGAGCCAGGCCTAGATCACTGAAAGGTTTGTGGAATCTTGTACTTTTCTCCCTTTTGACTTCTTCCTCTAGCAATTTCCAAAGAATTATCTTCTTGTGACACAATTTGCTGATTTGAATCAATATTGATCGTATCTTTTTGCTCAAAAATATTCCAGAGAACTGTTGTTGTAGCTAACAACAAGGCCCCCAAAAGAGATTACAAGCCATTCTTAAAGATAAACTAAAATAAGCACTCAACAATAGGATGAAATCAAATATAAAATAATACTGAAGACTGAGCGGCAGATAAAGGGAGAGAAAACGAACCGGCTAAATTCAATACCTGTGGAAATAAAAATGTGTCAGACAGTGGCAAAAGAAGCAGCTGGGGGTGAACTGCGCTTCCCATACCTAGGAGTTCCATAAAACAGATATAGCATGGGACATTCATGCTAGTTAGAAACAAAGAGGGTACACCACAGAAGCTTATTTGCAGATCCCAAAGTCTGGGGAGGATCAACTAGAAGGAGACACTCACTTCAATATCTTAGTCTTAAACCAATTATGGCTTTTCACATCTGGATGTGAGCCTGGGAATAAATCTGTAGCCAGTGCAACTGAAGCACCAAAGAATTATAAGCCTCAAAGGACAAGCACTGGATTGTAGGGTGTTGAACCAGCCACAGTATCCAAATATTTTTCAAGGACATAGTGTGTTACAATAGACGAAGTGGGGAGAATAAAGGCATGGATCACTAATTCCTGAATTATATGCTCCAAAAGTTCCATAAAGCTATTTGGAATAGCCCCAGATTGTGGCTTTTAGGAGTAACAGCCCAACATAACTTTGAGAATTAGGGACATAAAGGATAAAACAAAATTTTGCAGGACACCATTGGGCCACGGGCTAAGATGTTGACTCCAAATCCCGCAACACTATTTTCTGAAGCCTGCTCTGATAACATTGAAAGCCTCAGAGATGTTCAAGAGTTTCTGTGGAAATATTCTCCTTGTCCAGTTGCTGCAATCGCTCATTCACTAAACTTAAAACAAAAGCCAATCATAAAGCAGAAGGGGAGAAAATCCTTGGGGGGAAAAAGATTAGATCTTGTATGTCTTGCCCAAGCACTAGTGAATTGGGCTCTAGCTGGAAATTGTCCAATATGATGGGATTTCAGGACATTTTCCAAAAAAAAAAAAAGATGTCACAAAAGAACCCTGGATTTACATCAGAACAGAATGTGAAGTAACATTTCCTTGAAAAATAAATCAGCACTGTTCTTTATCGGAATGCTCTGCTGTCATTTCCCATTGGTCCATTCATGCTAACTGTTACAGCTGTGCTACTTAATACTGATCAATGGGCATTTTAATTTTCTTTCCAGAAGGCAATCAATATACTTCTGGTAGACGAGTGATCAGAAAGGTGGTTATTGACTATTATGATTCATTTTAAAAGTTCTGTACATTTGTTGGGAAATTGGATGGTGTGAGGTTAAAAGGGGGTGGGGGTGGGGGAGTTGCTTCTGTTCCCAAAACAACTTACCACTAGCTCTGAGCTTGTCTGAAAAGTTTCAATGTAAGAAGAGTAATGTTGGTCATCCATTTGATCCAAGATTGCTGTCATGCATGCCACAAAATGACTCTACAAGAAAGAAAATAATATTATTGATGTGCACACCTTGCTTGAGTTACCTAAGTAAGTAGAAAAACATGTTTATATTATGTGGCACTAAAACATACCTAAATAACAGGGAAATCAGTCGTGTAAAATCTGCTCATGTCAAAACGTCATGACATGAAAGTACAGAAGTGATTCTGACCATGCGGAATAAATTGTGATTTACAAAGGTATTGAGAATGAACATTCTTGTTGAAAAAATGGCAGTGTTTGGCTCCAGATACATTTTCATATTCTGATACCAATTTAACCTTTACCTTTATACATCCTTTAAATAAATGTAGTCATTACATTTTTGACAGGGAATTATTTGAATAGAAAAGTGCAGATCGCGGCAAGATCCTACAAAATCGATTGGGATTTTTTTAACCAGGGGATTCCTTTAATACATTCAATTTTTAAGATGTCCACTGGCTAACAAGGGGATAAGGAGCTGAGCAAAAAGGTAGGCAGGAGTGGGCCAAGTCATATTGAAATTAACTAGTTCAGTAGAAAATTATGCCTGGCTATTTTCTTTCAAAAGAGGGAGTCGGTGGCGACAACTCTGGTAGAACCTGTGGCGTTTTGCAATTGAATTTTTATATCTTAAATTTATTTGAAATTTACAAAGGATAGGGCTTGCACTTCTAACATATCAAGTGTGAGGTACTAATTACAGCTATTTAAACCTTAACAATTTGTTTAGTGTATAGGTTTTAAGCCCTTTAAACTACGGCCCCCGGCATATTTACCATGCAAGTTGATCAAACTGACACCAACACCCCCTCCATCTCTAGTTAAAGTCTCTCTGAGGGCATTAGAAGAAATATATGTTACTGCAGGCTACACAAGAAAAGAGCATAGCAGGGTTTTTGGTGTGAAGGAAAGTTTATGGCTGCAAGAATTTTACTCTTTTGTTAACAATTACCTTTTTAATAGTTATAGGAAATATTGTGTGCACACAAATGCACACGGCAGTGGAATCAAGGTGGGGTAGCCATCCATCACATAAAGTTCATATCAGACTTATTCACTTTCTCGTCTTTCCAATGACTCCTCAATCTTCCTGGGCAAAAATTCATTCACACCTCCCATGCGCGTGAGAAATCTGTTTTCACTTTGTGGCTTGATGATGTCGAACACAGCAAGGTCACA